GATTCTTATTATATGAATATTTTTGAATATTTTGTATTTTTCAATTATTTTTGAAATTAACGATTTTTATGTTACTATTATAACATTATACAATAATTTAGTTTGTATTTAGTTTGAACTTTGAACTTTTCTTGAACTCAAATCAAAGTCTAATTTAAGTTCAGTTCAAATTTTGAACCAAACTCGAATTCAAGCAAAAGTTCAGTTTAGTTCAGTTTATAAGAACACTAATCTTGATTATTATTCTTTTTGTCTTAATTAATAAATTGAATTTGGATCTTTATATTATATATAGTACTATTACAATTATATTATAAAATTTATTAATTCTATAATTTATAATATTTTATGAAATTATAAAAATCATATAAAGAACTTAGAATATTTCATAATTTTCTTATATATTATTAATTATAATATTTGTATACTTTTATTTTTCTATCTTATAATTTTATACTTTTTTTACTTTTTCTACTTTGTACTCTTATATTTTTTATACTTTTATACTTTTTTTATCTTGTACTCCTGTACTTTTTATATTTTTTCTACTTCATATTCTTATATTTTTTATACTTTTATACTTTTTCTACCTTGTACTCTTATACTTTTTATATTTTTTATACTTTTATACTTATTTATTCCAAGTAGATATAATTTAATCAATCAAAATTCTTTGAGATTTATATTTTTTCTCCTTTATTTCTTTACTTTTCATATTTAGTAAATTAAAGTTCTATTTTTAGTTAGTATAATTATCTTTTTCTTATTTTTAATATTATATTTATATTTTAAAGAAAATGTATAAATGTCATAAGTCAAAATGGGATGCGGGTTGATTTGGAATCAACCTAGGTCAATTCAGGATTTCATTTTAATCTGTGTTGTTTCGAAATCCTCAATCTGACATAGATCAATCACCATGTCAATTCCGAATTAACCCAGCCAATCATTGCAGATCACGTTATGTGCTCTCAACATTCAATAAAAATTTGCCATCATCCAATAAAAAATTTCTTCAATATTAATAGTTGTGCACCCAAATTCTGAACTGACACGTCTTTTATACTAAATAATAACTATTCAAACCCAACCCTCTCATGATTGGCTTTCTCGTGAAACATTTTCTTTACTACTCAAAGAATATTTGTTAGCTAGAAGTGAAAAAAGAAGAGCCAAAGCTTTACTTAGTCATGACGATATAAAAAAATGCATTGACGTATTGAAAAAGGGACAAGAGGCTGAAAATTATAGTGCTAAACTTGGCTATTGGATATGAAATACCTTTTACATTATAAATATTGGTGAAAGAAGCATACTTCATCACATAAAAACCAAAAAACCAGTTTGTCCGAAAGAAGAATTATATGACAAACTGTGTGAATTTTATTTGAAAGCGGAACATGGAGAAATGAATAAAATATATGATGCAGTATATTATATTATATTAATTTAAAAAATCTAATTATTTTAATTTTTATTTTATTTTTAGATTAAAGATAAATATTCGTAGGTGTCTGAGGATTTGGTAAAAAAATTTTGTGCTCGCTGCACTAGATGTATTACATGATGATCATTAGCTTAACTGGTAGTTGCAAAACCTATTTTAGCAAGAGACTTCATGTGTCATCTCCAAGTGGACTTACTTGATATGCATTATCAACCAGATGGTTCTTACAAATATATTTATCATGCTCATGATCATTTTTCAAAGTTTTCTTGGTTGTCTGCTCTTTCTTCTAAAGAAGCCAAAGAAGTAGCAGATTTTCTTTTTGAACTTTTCACTGCATTTGAATCTCTAATCATTCTACAAACTGATAATGGAAAAGAGTTTACAGCACAAATCATTAGAAAATTAACTAAATTTTGGTCAACTATTTGGATTATAAATGGACATCCAAGACATCCTCAATCTCAAGGACTAATTGAACGGGCTAATGACATACTTCAACAAAAGCTTTCAAAATGACTGGAAAATAGAGGAACTAATAGCTGGATGAATGGACTTTATTGGGTAGTATGTAAGTACATTAACTTTTTACTAAATTATTTAATTTTTTGATAATTACTAATCTATCTTACCTTTCTATTAGATGCAATAAACATAGAAGTTTTTTCAGTTACAGGCTTTGCACCATATCAAATAGTATTTGACAGAAAATCTCGTGCTAATTATTTTCTTCTTGAGTCTCTTTTTGAACAATTAATTATGAATGAAGAAGATCTTCCTGAAGATTTGAATATCGAATCAGATGATGAAGAAACTGAATTACGAATTCAAGATGAACAAAAGATAGAAAGTACCATGAGAAATGTGACAGAAATAAATGTGATGAACATGACAGAAATTTCCAATGATCAACAGCAACAATCAGCAGAACCCAGCATTGGGAGGAACATGACGAATGTGACAGAAATTCTCAATGACCAACAGCAGCAACCAGCAGAACTCACCATCAGGAGGAACATGACGAACATGATAGAAATTTTCAATGACCAACGGCAGCAACCAGCAAAACTCACTATTGAGAGGAATGTGACGGACATGACAGAAATTCCCAAGAGAAAAACAAAAAAAATTACCAACCTACAATTGCAACAGCAAATAGAAAACACCATTGAAAAAAAAATATTGAGCGACAAGCAGAGGAAATTAGCAACTCAGGAAGCACTAGTACTTACGTCAATAACTCTCATCATACTTCAGTTACAGTTTCAAGTAACGAAGTAATATTTATTATTTTTTTTCTTTGTTACATAATCTTTATATTAATTTTTTATTAAAGTATGATAGTGATGAATGCAATACATTACGCAACATTATTAACTTACCTACTGATCACCATCAAGTATACAAAGTTGCCTGTGATTATTATACTAAAAATGCCAAAGCAATGCAAAAAAAAATGTTATGTAAAAATACCAAGTGAAAAATATCTTATGAAATTGGAGAGTTTATGTGAATTGGAATTCCTAAGATTGATCGTTCAAGTACTGATAGAAAGCTTCTCATATGCAAAGTGATTGGAATTGTCGATGATGAGCTTTACAAATTAGGGTGTAAGTCAGGAATACTGAATATTTGTTATAATGTAGTAGAATTGATTCCTACAAGAGCCACAGATTTTTCAGAATTACAAGAAATACCAAATACCTTGATTTCTTTATGCGAAACATCATTGTGTCAAAGCTGGGGAGAAATGACAGATTATCAATATAATTGTAGAGGAAGTTGCAAAACTAATCATTGTAATTGTAAGAAAGCTGAAGTCTTGTGTGGAGCATGGTGTCATGATGATGGTAGCAGTATTTGTGAAAATCAAAGAGAATAAATGTTAGTAAAATTTGGAAGTTTGATTATAATAAAAAATCTTTTTGAATTCATTGAATTTCTATCATTATTAAAGTGTTCAATACTACAAACTGTCTGGCATTATAAAAAAGTACTTTTTTTTCACAAGAAAGGCATTCTAAAATGCTCTTACTTTCTCACTTAAGACAGAATTCTGTCAAACAATTTGTTCATCTTTGAATACTTGTAAGAACGTAAAAAGAAACTCCGTAAAATTTCTAATCCAATTTTTTATTGGATGATATGGCAAATTTTTATTGGGTGTTGAGAGCACATAACGTGATCTGCAATGATTGGTTGGGTTGATTCAGAATCAACATGGCGATTGATCTATGTTGGATTGAGAATTTCGAAACAACACAGATTGAAACGAAATCCTGAATCGACCTAGATTGATTCCAAATCAACCCGTATCCCATTCTGACTTATGATATAAATATGAGTTATAGTTAAGCTCTAATTCAACATGTTAAAACTTGAAAATAAATAATATAATAAAACAAATATCTTTACTATTAAAACAAATTTATCTTCCTCTTTCAAAAGTACACTTCAAATTTTGTAAACAAGTAGCTTTAAGACTGTATTGAGCTGATTAAAATATTGATATTAAATTATTAAATTGATAGTTTGATATAGACTAGTTTTTTGATATTTTTATTATAATTAAATTATTGGAAATTCTCAACTAATGATATTATAATCTCTTTCTTGTGAGAAGAACAAAGTGAAAAAGTCTTTATTACTTTTGTTATTTTGATATTTTAATTAGTTAACTAATTTATTAGTCACTTTAATTAAATAATTCGTAAATTAATTAGTTAGTATAATTATTCAGAACACTATATCTAATTTAAAAACTATTACTTTATCTTTTTCCCTTCTCAAACTATAACAATTTCAGTAAAAATTGGTATAGAACTTAGATTATATTTATATATTATTCTTATATTTGTTTGATTATTTCTCCCAACTCTTGTTTATGTTTATTAGCTAATTATCCAATTAGTGAAAAATGTGTCACAGTACAATTTGAAAAATATATAAAAAATTTAGATGATTTAATATTAATTAAACTTGATTTTATTTGATATTAATTAATAATAAAATTGAGAAAAAATTTTTTTAGAATGTTATTTTTTGAAATTTTGATTATACTATATGTAATACAATATAAAAAGTATTTTAATTATAAATTTACTAATAGTCACCAAGTACAAAAATAAGTTGTCAAAAGTTTCAAGAAATTTTATAAAAGATTTAATTATACAAAAATTTTAGTATATATTTGAAGAACTATTAAAAATATTAAAAAATATAATTAATATATTAAATTACATGTAATATATAGATAATTGTTGTCAAAATGTGTTATAATTTAAAATAATATACTATTATAAATTATATAGTGCATAACATCTAAAGTCATCAAATGTTTGTGTTTTATAAATGTATAAATATCTTTACTAAGAAGTAAATATAAAATTTAATCTGTGATTCACAGATTAAATTTTGCATTTAATTCTTTATAAAGAAATTTATACATTTTGTAAAATACAAATGTTTGATAATTTTAGATGTTATGCACCATTGACCAATTATAGAAATTAGCTACTAACCTATAACTTGAATGAGAAAAATGAATTAGATTTAAACTTATTTTATTTTTTAATTTTTCTAGAGTCCTGTGCCAATATCTTCAGATATTGTTGTATTTAATTGTCAGTTAGATTTTCTTCACATGTTCACAAATATTAATAATGCATTCACTTTTTCTGGGTCAAAAGCATAAACTCTTTAAATTGTAGTCATTTCACTTTTTCTGGATTAAAGTGACAAATCCTTCAAATCATATTCACCTCACTTTTCTGGATCAAAGTGGCAAACCCTTTTTACAACAATGAATTAATTATTGGGAAGGAGGATAAAAAGGCAACATAAGAACTTATTGTATTCAAGTAAGCAATCACATTTTAAAGATTATTGCTTTATTGCCTATTCTCTCTTTTAATTGCGCTTTCTCACTCTCATTATATACATTTTTGATTTCATATTTATGGTGTAATTTATGTGAAAATCACAGTGTAATTTATGGTGGAATTTACAGTGGAATTTACGGTGTTGTAACAGGGCTAGGGGTTAATTTCATCATCTCCCAATTTTGGTAAAACCAGCCTGGACCGATTTCGTTAGTCTATCTTTATTCGCTTCGAAATTATATGTGATATTCGCTTTTGTTTTCTATTTTAATTTCGCTTTTATTTTTTATTTTATTTTCGCTTTTATTTTTTATTTTATTTTCGCTTTTGTTTTCTATAAATTCGTTTCCGATCTCACTTTTAATCTCGCTTTTGTTTTCATTTCAATCTCACTTTTGTTTTCTATAAATTCGTTTCCGATCTCACTTTTAATCTCGCTTTTGTTTTCTATTTTTCAAGCTTAAATTCTCTCTTAACGATATAAACAAAAAGATGTATAGTCCTCGCGGACGTTAATAAAAATGCAGATTTAAATTGCGTACAATTCTTCTCCAAATAAAATTGTTGTAATTGATTGTGGTTAGTCCTTTAGTCCAGAAAAGGCGTTGATATTGTTAAACGGCATATTGATTGATTGATTGATTGAAAAAGCGCTTTGTAATTAAACAGTTTAAGGCTTTTAGCTAGAAAAAGCAACGATTGAAAGTTGATAGGAAAAATATTATCGATAAACCGTCACATAAAACATAAAACCCAAAACCATCTTATATACCCAAAAACCCAAATCTGCTAAATCCCCTCTACCGTCATACTGAACGATATCCGCAGATATCAGCACAGGAATTAGAAACAAACGAACACCACTCAGTCTAATCACTCCCGTAATAGTGTAATTAAAATTGATTGACGTAAATAAACAAAAATTTAGTGTTACCAGTGTAACCGTACAGGTAAATCCAATCCATTAATAATTAGACAGCTTTCCTCTTTTATTTGATTCTTCCGACACGTTTTCAATAGGACGTTTATTGTTTGTTTTATGATCTTTGAAATAAAACTCAGATATTTTAAAACGTAGAGACTCAAGTTCCTGATATCTATAAATTCAAAATTTGTAGACAAATCTGAATATTTGCCATAGTAGAGAGAAATACTGTCTATTCTCTATCGCAATTAATGAAAAAAAAGACTTATATTGTATTTGCACGGTTAATTCTTTTGAGCTTAACTTTTTTGCTTCGTTTGAATCATAGAAACTGTGACTTGTAGGTTTGGCATCAATTTATCTTATTCAGTGGTATACAAATAACTATTTTAATATTCTGACTTGTTGATACTGAAAAGTAACGCGAATTTACCTTCGTTTAGAACATACAAACTGACGCTTGTAGAGTATAATATTTTAATTAGTATGAAACGGCAACGTGTTTATATTCAAAAATAAATGCTTATCATTTGGAATATTGAATTGATTTTGAATTAAGGATTCGACTGCGTAAGGGTGAATTTAATGTTTTTTGTTTGTATTTATAGGAATTTTTTTGCAATTTCATTTTGTCAAGTTCTTTCCATATTCTGCATTTCTAATTCAAGACGCTTTTTAAGTTCTTCATTCTTTAAAGAGCTATAGTATTGAAGAGGGTTCAGTTTCCAATGTCGATAGATTTTATTCGAATAAATAAATCAGTGAAGTACCTCAGCAGTTATTCTGTTTTCTAGAATAGGATTCCAACATGTTTAGGTTGAGCTCTATTATAGATGTCGCAAACAAGATGCATATCATGACTTCGTTCGTTCACCTATGACAACCTCGTATGTGATCATTCCCAAACTATAAATATATGCAACTTCAGTGTAGGCTTTCCATTTAGTGTCTCTGTACTCATATAAGGAAATAATCCATAAATCTCTCGATTGGATTTTCTATATCTGCTGTTTGGTAAGCCCAAAATCAGCAATTTAATATATTTCCAAGGTGAAAGTCACGATGCACAAATTCACTTTCGTGAAATATCTTCAGTCCATTAATAATATAAATTAAATACTTTAATTCTTCCTCCAAATTCTTTGTATTTAATATATTTGCATAGATCACCATTTCTTGTATATACGAGTATTCATTTTAGTTATTTCATAATAACTAACTAATATGATCATTATTTTTGACTTTAGAGCAGTCTGAAGCTAATTTCGAGAAAGTTAATATATCGAAAAATAAAAAAGCAATATGCTTACACTTTAAAAAGTGCTCATTTACCTCGTTTAGAAACTCGGATGGATATGGTTTTAACACAACTTCTTTGCACATGTATTCATTATGTATTTCAAATTTATTTTCTCCCAACCAGATCAGGTTGCCAATAAATTGATCCAAACCTCCTTTTGCGAGATACTCAGTATTGGTAAGTCTTTGCAGGATATATTTGAAATTCTATTTATATTTTACTAGACAGTCGATATCTTTATTTCCGCTTAACCATTCAGCTTTTAAATTCGTTTGTAACATAGCAGTCCTCATTTTCTTGACATCTGATACATTTACTACAATCATAAGTATTGTGAACTGAATACCAGGATCTCGACAATCTGCATTCACTATAATCATGAGAATTATGAACTGAACATTCATTGCAGTACAAATATTTGACTCACCACAATTAAGAGTATTCGAAATTTTAGATGCCATATTTGAGTTTATTATTAGTGTGGGGTGAGTTGAGTGCTGTAAAAAAAATACCATTATAATCAAAAATCCCCCACTCGACCTGTGTTGGAAGTCGCCTTGTTTGCAAATCGATTTTGCGATGCCGACCCGACACCAACCATCCGACGTCTCCGTAATTACAATATCAAATAGGGTATAGTTAGGGTCAGGAACAGATTTACTAATCCCCCAAGTTTAAATTAGACGCAAGTAAATCCTATCGCTAATTGGATGAAATTGATCACGTCCTATTGTATATGTAATCAACTACCCCAAGGACGGAAAAATTTTACTATAATGTTAAGGTGTAGTGCTCCAACCGGGTCGGGTTCGATCTGTGACCGACCCGGAACGCATATTTCAGGTCGGGTCGGATTGGGGTCAAACCCGACCCGAAATAATTCGGGTCAGCCTAAAAATCGTTATTTTTCGTCCAATATTAATTGGAATTAAACGAAAATTTGTGGGCATATACGAACAACTCTACTTAGACACAAAATACAAGTGTCTTAGTAAAAAATAAAAGTTATTAACGAAAAACTAATTTACGATTTTAGGATCAAATCCGATCCGAATCCGATCCGACCCGAACAGAGCTTTATTAAGGTGCCACTGGCAACACGTGAACTGATCCTTTTTTGCCATGGCTAGGGTACCTAGCCACGGCAAAAAATTGACAATCTTTGCAACGAGAAAATAAATAAACCAAGCAGGTCTGTAATGTGCGCCAGGTTACGCCGATTGCGGAAAAATTCGGAAATTAACGTTAAAGATTACTTTAAAGTTAGAATCAGGGTTAGAGTTAGAGCGAAGGACAATGTTATATGCAAAATTGTCTTCCTGTCATATTTTATTAACTAGATTTAGACATTTATTTCCCGTGTTTTTCGCATTTTTGTGTTTTCTGCCTTATTTGTTGATCAACCCAGAAAAACAAATCCGACGCAAGAAAATGAAAGTATGAAAAATGTGAAAAATACAGGAAGCATATGCTTAAATCTACTTTATGCACTAATAAAAATGTCGGTGATGCGATTTTACATATAATCTTGCTCTCCATTCCAACCCTAACACTAATTCTAGCTACAAACAAATAAAAATTCGTAAATTTTAATCAGCACGGCAAAACAAATCCGACACAAGGAAATGAAAAATGTAAAAATACGGGAAACAGATGCCTAAATTCAGCTTTGTACACTAGAAAAGAGTCGGAAAGGCAATTTTACATATAATCTTGACTCCAGATCTAGCTCTAATCCTAACCTTTAAATTAATCTTTACAATAACCTTTATTACCGTAAAATTTTTCCGAACATACACAAATATCACGTGAAACACCTTTTTTCATCCAATATTACGTGATCAATTTCCTGTATCAAATCAGAAATTTATATATTAATGATTTTAAGGGAGATCAGCATTCACCAGGCTAGGGTAATGTAAATGGTTGGTTTTAAGGTTAGGGTTAGAGCTGAGGTTAAAATTATATATAAAATAGTCTCTCCGACAATGTTCCAGGCTAAATTTAAGCATCTGTTTGTATTTTTTCATTTTATCTTGTGTCGGATTTGTTTTGCCGGGTTGATCCAAAATTTATGCATTTTTATTGATTACAGATCAAAAAATGCGTCTAACCAAAATGAATGGTACCAAAGTGATTTTAAAGAGGTGATTATATGGAGGTATGCTTGGTAGATGTGAGTATATATGAAATGATTATATGGAGGTATGCTTAGTAGGTGTGACTATATATGAGGTAATTATATGGAGTTATGATTGTACATAAAAAGTGGTCGGAATTTAACAACAAATTCCAAGAAATACTTGTTTTAGTTTGTAAAATTCAAATAATTTGGAAAACAATTTTGATTATTAAAATAATTGCAGATTTAATTTTGATAAGTTAATTTCAGCAAATTATTTAATTAAATAATGTTATTTCAGAGATCATTAATATTCTAGTCACAGAAAAAAAGTGTTATATCATGTGATCTAAAATATATTCATTAAAATTTTGATTAATATTATTAGGATTAGGATTAGAGCTAAGATCAAAATTATATATAGAATTATCTTTAACATTTTTTGATAGTACACTAAACTAGATTTAGATATCTGTTTTTTGTATTTGTTACATTTCTATTGGTTATATAATTTTTGTATATTTTTATTAGTTAAATTAGTTCATAATCACATGATTTGATACTTTTTTTGCCATAATTAGAATACTTGGAGATCATCCTTAGCTAAGATACCTGAATATTCTTTGTTTATCAAGTAATTTTAAATAATTAAGAATTTTGAAGCTGATTAGTTATATTTTCTTGTCATTAAATTTTCATAGAGAATGTAATTTCTAATTATAGCACTAATAAGAATTTTTGATAACAGAATTTCTCATAAAATTGCATGAGTTTAGCCCATTGACAAATAACAATTTTGGGCAAACTAAACTATAAAAATAATAGTTGAAATCAAGCTTTATTAATTTATTAGTTTATTTTTTTGTATAATTTTTGCCAGATATATATATATATATATATATGCATTTCTCTCAAGTTTTCATAATGCTGATCAAAATTCTGCATAATTTTTGATCATTTATGATTTTCAGCCAATCAAACACATGTACTAGATTTCTAATGACGTAACATTTCTTTATAGAATTAAGCTATTATTTTGATTGGTCAGAAGGTTTCGTCAATTATCATGGTTTCATCGAACGAATGACGTGACGAAATCTTTCGTCATTATAAAAATAGTTTCAGATATCCTTAACTCTAACTGGTGATGAATAGCAGAAATTACAATAGGCAGAATTAATCAAATTTGGGAAGAAAGGTTTGAAACTTATACAATATATATTTTTATGTCATACAAAAAAAACTCCTAAAAAATTTAAGAAAATGTCAATAGCAAATCTCTTATTTTTTGTTCTTTCTTTACCAATGCTATTATTTGTAAAGTTTTTTTTCGTAAACTTTCTCTTTTTCAATAATATTCGAACAACTATGCAAGTTTTTTCTGTCTAGACAGAATTTTCTTATTTAGTTCGTTTAACTTTATTTTTTTTATCTATTTTAAGTATCTATGGATTAAATAAAGATTAAAATAACTTGGCTACTAGTTCGGCTAATACTAACTCGTGTGATTGGAATTGACCTTAAGCACTCTCTAAACAATTGGCGCATAGTGATTACTTCCAATTAGTTGTATTCAACAGCCATAAATTTATAAAATAATAACTTGTACATTTTTTCATAGTAACCAAGGGCAGTAAAACATACACATATGTACACACACAAAAATAAATAAAAATAGCAGTAGAAAAATTATAAAAATGATAATTATAAAACAAATAAAGTAAAAAATCATTTTTTTTTGTTTCGAATTTTTGAGAAATAGAGGAGAAAATACAACAAAAAATATGGATTTAAATAGTGCTCCAACCGGGTCGGGTCCAATCCATGACCCGACCCGGAACGCACATTTCGGGTCAGCCTAAAAACCGTTATTTCTCGTTCAATATTAATTGGAATTAAACAAAAATTTGTGGGTATATACACAATTACATTTCGAATAACTCTACTTAGACACAAAATACAAATGTCTTAGTAGAAATAAAAGTTATTAACGAAAAACTATTTTATAATTTTCGGATCAAATCTGATCTGAATCCGACCGACCCGACCCGAACCGAGCTTTAGATTTAAAGATGTAAAAGGAGAAAAAATAAAGAAGTACGGTGGGAAGATTTCTAGCCAACTATTTTTTGTTGCAAGAATTAATTAGTCATTGTAAACGCATGAGTTGAAAACTCAAGAGTGTGCTATCAGAAAAGTTTTTTCGACGATGTGAATTCAGTCACACATGTGACTTATTCATAGATGTGGCATCTAATTATTTGTTTAAAATAAAAACTTTATGACTTTGTTGATGAGGGGAAAAAGAGGAAAAAAGCAAGCCGACATATTATAAGAAAATTTCTTCTTTTCTTGCAGTAATAAAATTATTTCTTTGTAAGAAAATAGTCACACGCACGTGACTAGTTTTCAATTAACATTTTAACGTTAGGGTTAGGACTGGTGTCAAGATTATATATAAAATTAACTTCCCGACATTTTTCGTCTTTTTTCATTTCTTGTGTTGGATTTTTTTGCCGGGTTGATACCAAATGTGGACATTACTAAGTATTGTATGTTAGTATTAGGAGAAAGAAAGCTTATAGCACCATAGCAGCTGAGTGATCGGATCAATACAGTCAGGCTCGATTTACCGATCAAATTTCAAGATATCGTTAAAATGCTAAATCGAGAGAATATTAATAGACGTCACTAAATTGAGCATGATTAAATATAATGATCTGAGAACAATAATTGTTAACTCGCGCTTTCATTAAATCGCATAGTCGTTAATATAAACTCGACATCACAAATTTCAAAAACCTGATAGAGTTCAATGATAAACATTCTTGAAAGTACATAAGATGACAAAACAGTATTGATAATGAAGAAATGGCTAATCAAATAGTAGAATTTATAATAATTTTTGTATCTATAAAACAAATCTAAAAAGCTGAAGTTTTTAAAATAATCAAATTAGTAAAGGAATAAAAGAATTTCGAGATTGCTATTTCAAAGTTTTTAAAAACTAAATAGTAAGAAATATTCTATTATAAATTTCTTCAAACTTGGAAGATTCAACTGTTTCAGAAGCTCGATCATGTCCACTTTTTGACATAATTTAAAGATAAGTCGAGAATTTTTGAAACTCCTGAATTAAACTTTGTTATTTCCTAACTTTGATCTCAAATGCTTTATTATCATCTTGTCTACTGCTTCTTTATATTCGCTACATTGTCCAAGTCGAAATTGTGAGCGAGAACTATCATAATCGTCGATTCTAAAATAAAATTAAATAAATTGTATGAATTTTTTTGTTTCTTCATTTTTTCATAGCTAAATCTCAAAATAAATTTGCAGATTTGAATGCTTTTATAAACTCCACTTTCCCAGACTCTGTTGATTTTAAATACTATTCTGATGCATTTTTCATCTTTAGTTGTTCAGTTTCCATCTTCATAACAAATGGCTAGCTTATATTTTTCTTGAAAATTACATTCTGTTGATTTCAAATATCATTCGAATGCTTTCTGTTCAACTTTGAATGTTCCTTTTCCATATAACTAATGGCAAGATTATTTTATGCTAAAATTTAATTTGTTTTGCATTACATAATGATTTCACATATTCTTCATCTCCTCTTAAGTTCTGCCCAATTAGGTTGCTTTACAAATTGTCCCAATACCTCCTTTGCAAGATATTTAATATTGGTAAATCTTTCAAAAGGGCCATTCGAAAGAAGTTGACCATTAGCTTTATAAATTCATATGTGATAAACAAACATTTCCGGTATGTACGTAGTTGGCAAGCGGTGCATTTACAGTAGTAATTTCATTCTTGACAATACCAGCATTTACAACTGAGTACTAGAATCCATCCATCTTCGAGTTAAAAAAAAAAACATTACGTCTGAGATAGTTTTTCATCATACATCCAACAAATGCCAGTATTCTTTTCTTGATTATAACATTCAAGTGATTAAAGAACCTATATCAAATTGTACAGTGCGTACCATTGAAACAGATGCTTTATTAAGAATTATCGCTAATTCACTATATGTACTTATTTGCATTCTCATTTCTGATTTTTTGTTTCTTTAAAATCAAGTTACTACCAAGTTAAATCTATTTTTACGGTGTCTTCGATAATCAAACGTGAAAGAATGAAAAGGAACTTTTTGTTCCATGCACGCGCACGAGAAATGTACACAAAAATATAATATTTTATTAAGCGGCAGAAAATAAAATTCTACAAAAAGTTTAATAGAATTACGTAATAAAAAGTCCTCTCATAATTTTATCTTTTAGCAACTCACTGTTCAATATTTGGGTTGTTAATGGGGCACTACAGATCATATTAAAACATATAATCTACTCCAGAGTGGGTTATATGTTTTAATATGTTCTGGAGTGCTCCATTAAATCTTTAACAAAATATATGCATGAAGTTTCGTGGTGCAAGACATAATAAACTTTAGCAAAGAGACGTTTTTATAGCTGCTTTATTTAAGATTATTTGGCTGTTTTGTTTTATTGATTTATAAACTTGTGAACGATAACTATCTCAGCCGGAAATTATTTTTTCTCTTAATACACGTGTATCTACGTGTTTTTAATCTCGAGAAGGAATTATATTACCTTTTGTATAGTCGCTATATTTATTTGTTGCTCCTTTTGAATGGTACTTTCTCATATGGTGAGTAATCTATTCTGTATTATGTTGTCTAAGATTACTACGTATTTATTTTATCATTTTTCTTTTCAAATAGTTCTAGAAAACCGGAATAATATTTCACGATATGTTGCATGGGTTCAAACTATCGGATTTTTAGTCGTTATTCGACAAAATTCTTGACTTTGATTCGTTTTTAAGTGCTACTGTGATTGACCATCATTGCGAAAACACTGCATCTTGTACTGGTGTCTGTCATAGTTGAGGGAACAAAATTTATCGAAGCTAATGCAAATTCAGATGATTCATTTTCGAGTAGAGGGCGTGCGAGCAAAAAATCAAACGTTTTGTGTCTCGCAAGTATCGACGAATATGGTGTTAAGTCCTCAATTTATCCGTATGCTTCAGATTCCTCTTGCTCCTTTGCATCAATATATTTATCATTATTTATTTATTTCTGTATCAAGAATTTTGGTCTATCAAACATCCAGTTAGCTCTCCATCGAATAAATTTTGGATCAATCCGAAAACCGAACCGTATTGTCCTATTTGACCCTTTGCAGCTACGGATTGCAAGTCAATACGAATCGAACCATTCTGTATATGTGTCTTGTCTTCTCAAATGATGCAAAGGGGATAGCTAAAAATTCTTCATCTTCAACCCAAGAATTGGTATTTTTGGGGAATAAATGTCTTTAATTAGATAAACACGTAAAAAAACACAAATTAAAATCAAGTACAATGGGATCAATGAATCAAAATTATATCGGTGAAACACCCTAATTCATACTTAAGTATTTTAACTTCAAACATTCATACTTCATTTTATTAATAATATGTATATGAAAACTTTATGTGTGACATAATTCAACTCATAAAACTAGAATTTCTTCAAAAATAACGAGCGATTATCGAAAAATCCAATTAAATTTAAGTTTCAATGATATTAATATTTTACTCCCGTGTTAGTTAAAATGTTTTTTTTTAATTTGAACAATATACAGTAGCTCGCACCTGTAACGGAACACGAAAATTAACTTACTAGGATTTTTATTTCCATGACTATTAGTTCGAACCAAATAAAAAAGTGTTCATTTGAAACGTTGTAACCACTAATATTTTTTAAGAATAATTTAGCAACAGATTATTTTGTGAAATAAAGTGATTTAAATCAAAATTCTATTGTTAATGAACGTATTATTTATTATATAAAATAAAAATACATAAGTAGTCGCCCGTGATAATGTCTATATATAAACAATTTGGTATTGTTAAACTCCATGGTTAATATTAAATTAACAGGAATTTACCAGTTCTTATTAATATATAATTGCTTGTAATGGTATACTTTCTTTTATAGAATAGTTAGTTTGATCAGATTCTAATAAGGAGGTAAAGGTAAGAAGAATCTTGTATACTATCCATATAATAAATTAATTTTGAATTTTTTCGTTAGCATTAAGTTTTTTGTAGAAATTTAATACATGTAGTAGTACAATGAGTTAAAATATTGATAACGATAATTAGTGTTATATGTACATGTACTTGGCAATATCGATAGGAATGTACATGTATTATACAAATACATTATTATCGCTAAGGAAAAATTCTTTGCAATTAATTGTTGCTTTTTGACTTAGTTCGCGGACAAAAATAATAGTCTTCCCTTGGTAATGACACAGAGGAACTTTCCTAAATGCACCCTCTATATACACCCTCCCTAAATGCACGCAATGGCGCAGCCCCAAACTTATAAGGTCTCTGATTATTTACTCTCTATAAATGCACACCTTCACTAAATGTTCACTCTGCTTGTTTTTCAATATGGTCTAAGGGGTGCACTTAGAGAGGTTTCTCTGTATTTTTGTTTGATGCATGCTCAGTAGTTAATCTTATTGGTGCATTCGTTCTTCCTTTATCGAAATTATAAGAATTTTTAGTGAACACCGAAAATCTCACGTACTATGGAAGGATTGTCAATTATGCGGGGTTGTTGCCTGTGTTTGGAAGCACTAACCCTAAAGATAAATTGTTTTTCTGGTATTTCGAGGCAGAAGAATGGTCAAACAATTTGGTATTTTTTTTTTAAATTTTGAAATCTATATACTGTATATATAATCGAGAAGGTAAAATAAACATATTTTGCATTTCTTCTCTAAGGTCTTTTGGTTTGAAGAAGGTTTGTATGAGTTTCCCAAACATTTGCAAATTTATATTCTTTTTGTTTAATAACAGCAGGTCCTGGCTGGTTGTTAAATTATCTGATATGTAATTCTTTGTCGTTTTTCTAATTTGCTTAATTTCTAGCGCTACAACATTCAATGTTTTCGCTGAGCACGGTCCTTTTGCTCGATACAATTACCAAACGAAAAATTCATAAATAATTCGTATAGCTGGCATCATGATACTCACGTCGTTTACAGTGGAATAAATGTTACGTACTTATTCACATCGCTTCTCTTAAAATTCGCATACATAGTGTGACAAACTTCCTTTGTATTCGATATTTCTAAAATTATGTATTCTTAAAAAGATTTCCTTAAATTCGTTAAATCACAGCCTTTCGGAGTCGGGTTTTCTCGAAATCCAGGATAAATTAAAGTCGAAAATAAAAACCAAGTAATAATCCGTCATATAACTTTCTTTCATGAGCATTTATTGTATGCTTTAGCAC